CGAGGACGAGGACAAGAACATGGACGACAATGAGGACGAGTACGAGGACGAGGGAGACGACGACGACGAAGATGACGACGACGACCACGACGACTACGTCAACGACAGCCACCTCTGAAAATCCGAAGGGTCTCAGGAGGCCCCAGGAGATCTCCAGAGATCTCTGGTAGCAACTAAGACGGCCCTCAGAGGCTCTCAGAGACGACGACAACGACAACGACGACGACAACGACGACGACGACGAAGCCGACGACGAGGATTACGAGGACAAGGACGAGGGCGAGGACGACGAGAACGACGACGCGGAAGACGACGGCGGCGCCCACGACAACGGCCACCTTTGGAGACCTCTGGAGACGCCGCAGAGGTCTCTGGAGATCTCTGGAGACCTCTGGAGGCGCCTGGGGACCCTCCGAGGACCTCAGAGACGAAGACGCCGACGACGACGCCGACGACGACGCCGACGCGGACGACAACGACGACGAGGACGAGGACGACGACGAGGGCGGGGACTAGGACAAGGACTAGGACGAGGAGGACGACGACGACGGCCGCCTCTGAAGGTCTCCATAGGTCTCCAGAGGCTGCCAGGAAATCTCTGGAGACCTCTGGAGGCATTTGGAGGACCTCCGAGGTATTCAGAAACAACGACGAGAAAGACGACGCCGACAACGACGACCAGTACGAAGACGACAACCACGACGAGGACGACGAGGACGACGAAAAAGACAACGACGACGACGACGACGAGGACGACGACGACGATTACGAGGACGAGGACGAGGACAAGACAAGGACGAGGAAGAAGACGACGACGGCGACGAGGACGAGGGCAAGGACGAGGGCGAGGACGACGACGAGGACATAGACGACGACGACAACGACGTCGACGACGAGGGACAGGACGAGGACGAGGACGACGACGGTGACGACGAGGACGAGGACGACGAGGAGGAGGGACATCACGAGGACGAGGACGACGCCGACGACGAGGGCGGGGACAAGGACGAGGACAAGGACGAGGAAGACGACGACGACGAGGGACATCACGAGGACGAGGACGACGACTACGACGAGGGCAGGGACGACACGAGGACGAAGGACAGGACGAGGACGAGGACGCGGACGACGGCCGACTCTGAAGGTCTCCAGGAGGTCTCTGGAGGCCCGTCTTCTGGAGGCCCTCCGAGGCCCGCAGGGACAACGACGAAGACGACGACGAGGGCGACAACGACGAAGTCGAGGACGAGGACGAGGACGACGACGACGGACGACACGAGGACGAGGGACAGGACGAGGACGAGGACGAGGACGAGGACGAGGACGAGAACCAGGACGAGGGCGAGGACGAGGAAGACGACGGTGACGACGACGAGGAGGAGGACGACGACGACGACGAGGACGAGGGACGGCACGAGGACGAGGGCGAGGACGACGACGACGGTGACGACGACGACGACGACGACGACGAGGACGACGACGACGACGACGAGGTCGAGGTCGAGGACGAGGACGAGGATGAGGGCGAGAACGAGGACGAGAACGAGGACGAGGACGACAACGGACGACGACATCGATGAGGACGAGAACGACGACGAGGACGAGAACGAGAACGACGACGACGGCCGCCTCTGAAGGTCCCCAGGGTTCTCGGGAGGCTCCAGGGGGTCTCTGGAGGCCTCTGGAAGCATCTGGGGGTTCCGATGCCTGTAAGCATTTCACCATGGCTGTGAGCACGGCGCCATGCCTGTGGGGGGGCCGCCCCCTGCACCTCCCCCGCGCACGTTCGTTACCGCTACGAAGGGGGAGCGGGGGGGCGACCCCCCCGTAACGTCCGTTACGGGTTCAATGCGTAATCAGACAGTCTCCTCGGCGTCGAGGAAGCTGCCCTGCCACGCGAGGGCGCGGGGCACGTGCTCGCTGCCGACGGAGCCCGTGCCGTCCGGGTCAAAGCGCTGGAAGAGCTCCTGCAGTGCCTGGCGCTCCTCGCGCGTGAAGCCCACGCTCTCGCGCAGCAGGCGGATGAGGCCCTCGAACTCTTGCAGGTCGAGCTGGCCGGAGCCGTCGCTGTCGGTCTCCTGCATCAGCTCGTGGAGCAGCTGGGTGGAGGGCAGCTGTCCGAACACGTCGATCATCACACCCCTCAGCTCGTCCATGCTGACGAAGCCCGAACGGTCCGCGTCTGCCCTCTCGAAGGCCTCCCGCACCCTCTCCCTGTACCGCCGCTCGAACAGGTCCATGAACCGGAAGAACTCCTCCTGCCCCAGGGAGCTGAACATGGACACCGACTCGAAGGCCGCGTCGAGGTCCGCCTGCCGCGCGGACGCCAGGCCGGCCTGATCGGCGGCCTGGCGCAGGTCCTCCCGCATCACCTGGGCACCGCGGGCGTACACACACACGCACACACACACACACGTAGAGCAGGGGATCGACGACAGAGTTGACGAACCCCGAAAGTTGACCTGTTCGTCGCGTCTGCAAAAACTCGTATGCAGAATTTTACATGTCGATCTACGGAGCACCTGGGGACATCGGGCATCTAGACGGCATGTGCACTCTTGTACGGACCGCGATGTCGCGGGCGTTGGTTTCTGACGCCGCGTGGATCGTTCAACCTCGAACGATCGCGGCTCTCCGATAGCGCAGATCGCTCGACATCGGCCTGCTCTGGGCTGCTGGCGGCGTTCAACCTTGAACGCCCGCGCCAGGGTCGCCGCCGCGCCAACGCGGCGTAAACCTACCGTGTCCGGACCCTGTCCCATGGGGCTTCGCAGAAACGCCCCTGGACAACGTGCAGTGTACAACTTTCCTGCTGGTTCTCTTGGCGACAGGTGCCGAACACAACGTACACTCTGCGGTTGGGCCGCCATCTGCCACTAAGTGGTGGACAAACATCACCAACACAGAAGACTCACGCAGGACGAAGGAGCTTGCTCTTGAGGTGACAGTGGCGATGATGAGTTCGAAAGATCACATCGGCGCCGCCGAACGGACGGCGTCGGGACGAGCTGCGTTCAGCTCGTCCAGGAGGCGCGTTCCAGGCTCAAGAGGAAAACACTTTCGTCCTGGGTCGGTGCCGTCGCCTGGCACCGAGGACCCAGAGATCCGATGTTGTGATTTTGCCCATGCACGGTCCCTGGAAGTCTTGACCCATTCCCCAGGACCGCTTTTTCATCGTGGTTCGTTTTTTGACTGTCCCGAGGCCCTGCGAGGGCCCCTAGGGGACGAAATTGGCGCAAAACCTCCGTCTTGATTTTTTCAATGCGTTGGACCTCTGGGGACGTTGGTCGGGCCACTGGCCGACGTAGTGGACGGATTCCTGGCCCCGGCTACCCGCTGCCCCTTCGCCAGGCGGCCGAACACTCGCCTCCACAGCTTCTCGCGCGGATCGGCCCTGGAGCTGCCTGGCTCGGCGTGCCCCTGCTGCGGGTGAAGCGATGCCCGCGGACCAGCCGCGCCCAGACGATCCACTGCTGTGGCCCTCTTCTCCGCTCGGCCCCACAGCCCCGACCTCCTGTGGGCAGGGCTGGACCTAAACGTTGTTTCTGGTTTTATTGTCGTTCTGGTCTTTGTTTGGCTCGACCTGTGTTCCTGTACCTCCCTGCCAAGACGAGAAGCAAAACACGGCCGAAGTCTGGCAAAACAGCTTTTAGGTCCAGCCCTGCCTGTGATTGACCGCGCCAGAGGCCGCCGGGAGAGTCTCGCGCGGGGGCTCGTCGGTGGAGCCTGCGAGGCGGCTCACCACCATCGAGACCCGGGCGGCCCTCGTCCAGCGGTCCGACGGGGGGCAGGACTCCTGGCCCTGGAGCTCCTCTCGGCTGCACGCAAGAAGAGACCCTAGGCAAGAGTGATCGTTGGTGCGCAGCTTTAGGGGGCCGCGGGTGGGCCAAACCCATGCGCGCAAGCCAACGGTGAGTGGACCCCTGTGCGCCCGCATGAGAGGTTACTCCAGCGAAGGGTCACTTTTACGTGTAACCGATCCTCGGGCTCCGTGCCGCCAGCCACCAGCGCGTCTTGCGCCGTCGGCTCCGCCGCGCCAGACTTGGTCTTCGACCTGGCGAGGCGCGACGACGCCAGGGCGGCGCGCAACAGGCTGCTGCTGGCGCAGCCCTGGGCGGGCCGCTGCTCCTCTTCGTCCTCTGGATCGGACTTGTCACCCTCGTCGGGGTCCCGGGGTCCCCGCTCGCGGCGCTCGGGCTCCCGGGGCGGCAGTGGTGGGCCGGATCGCAGCCGGAAGCGGCGGTGCTGCGCCTCCTGTCGGCGGCGCGCCCAGGTGGGAAATGATAGGGGGCAGGCCTGCTCAGAAGGCGGTCGGGCTTCTCAGAAGCCATCCTGCGTTCTGAGAAGCCATCTCTGCCTTCGGAGAAAGCCGAGAAAACTTCTCGTTGAGCAGGGACCGGCCGTCCCAGCATTCCTATAGTGCTACCATGAACTGCTCTTAGAACCCAAAAAGGTTCAACTAACAAAAACAATGTTCTTAGAACATTAACCCGAGGTGTTAAAACAAGACAGATTCAACCAGAGATGCTTTAAGAACATATCGTGCAAACCACAGAAGGTTCTTAGAACATTCTTTGGTAGGCCTATGGGCGAGCCAGGACTCTTCGCCACTGCTTGATTCTCGGGAGGCCTTCCGGAGCCTTCTGAGAAGGCCAGCCCCCTCTGCATTCCCCCCTGGGCTCGCCGCCGATCCTGCTCCACGACCTGGTGGAGCACACCACGCCAAGATCTGCACAGGTTGTGTGGCTCCCTGAGCTCCAGGGCCTGGGACACTACCTGCGCCACCGCGCCGGCGGGGCCGCCCCTCCGCGCCACAGGCGGCAGGCGCCCCCGCGCGGCGTCTCGCGCCGCGCCGAGGCAGGCCTCGAGCCAGTGGACGCTGTCGCAGGCCCCGAGCGCGCTGCGAACCGCTGCGCGCACGGACTCCTCTCATGGGCCTGTTTTCCACCACCACGACCATTAGTTGGAGGGGGGAAGGAGGTGGAGGAGGAGGAGGAGGAGGAGGAGGAGGAGGAGGAGGAGGAGGAGGAGGAGGAGGAGGAGGAGGAGGAGGAGGACCCCCTCCCCCTCCCACTTGTGGTGGTGGTGGTAGAACACACGCCCATCATCCTCCGCCGCCGCGGGGCCGTCCGGGCCGCCGCCGCAGGGCCCCCGTGGCGTTGGCGCGGCGCCGCCGCCGGGGCGCCCGCCGCGGGGCTCTGCGGGAGCCGGCGCCGGCAGGCCCTGCAGGCCCGGCAGCCACGGCGCACCCGCCGTCGCCCCTGCAGCGCTCCGCCGCGAGGCCTCGGGCGAGGCCCGGCGGCGGCTGCGCTCCCTGGCGGTGGCGCGCGGAACCGCCGGGGGGCCCTCGACGGCCTTGTCGACGAACGTGCGGAAACCCCTTCGATGGGTCAAAGGTGGGGTCCTGAGGCATGGGGTCCTACGTTCAAGCCGTGAGATAAGGACGCGCGATCAGGACGCAAGGGCCTCGAGGGCCAAGTCGACACTCTGCGAGCGGGGCGCGGCCAGCGAAAGCGGCCACGGACGGGCCGAAGGGGAAGGATGCAAGGGCAACCTCGGAAAGTCGCTCATCCTTACTATGCGGGTTGACTGCCAGCACGAGGTGCTTCAAGCAACGAAAATCCACCCTTGGATCCCGCCCTATCCTGAGGGCCGATAGCACGGGATCCGAGGGTGGATCTGCATTGCCTGAGGCACCTCGTCCTTACAGTCGGGGTGTTGACCTAAGGAACCCTAAATAAGGAACGAGGGCCCTGTTCTCCACAAGCTAAGCCCCATTGCCCATCGAAAACCCAAGGAAAACCGAAGGCAAACTGCAAAACGGCTAAGGAACACTGAGCCCCTCCCAAACGAGCAGGGCTCCTTCTTCAGCGCCCCGACTGGAGGACCCCATCCCCCAGGACTCCATCTTTGCGCCGCCGGCTCCTGCTCCACGGCCGGCAGCCGTCCGGCGGCGGCGGGCAGGGCGCCCAGCGCGCGGGGCTCCGCCGCGGCGGCGCGGCGCGCGGGCCGCGGGCCGGCGCAGCCGGCGGGCAGCTTGCCGTGGGCGGCGCGCGCGCCTCCACCATCGCGCGGGCGCGCTGGGGGGGGTGCGGCACTCTCGGCGGCCAGGCCCCTGAGCCAGGATGGCCACGGAGCAGCGTTCCAAGGACGTGCGGCGCACACCAGCGCTCTGGCGGGCTCGGGCGTCTTCTCTGCGTGGCACGCGCGACGCATCACCAGGGTTCCCCGTGCGGCGCACTTAACCTCCGAGGGAGTCGCGGTGCGGCGTAAGCCTCAGAATCTCTGAGAGCTGGGCCTGGAGGATACATCTGGCGCCGCGGCCGTTCCCAAGCACTGCGGAGCGCTCTGAGAAGAAGACTGAGGCGACTCGGTATCATTGATCATCCTAGGCCTGCCTGAAAGATATAACTGCGAACCGTAGGCCGCCCGACTTCGCGCATCGCGCATCGCGCCCCGCGGGGACCGTCGCGCCCTCGCGGCCTCGCGCCGCCCCTCGCGAGGACCGTCAGCCGCTCTGGTCCGGACTTCGGCGCACGAAGCACGGTGATCTTCGCGCTCGCTGCATTGGAAGCGAGGGCGCTCACGCGCTACCTTACGCGGGCAGCTTACGCGCCAATGTCGGCGCAAACGACCCCGTTTTTTGAACGTCGCACCACTGGCGACTCGCCCACTTGGATAGGCGGCGAGCGCGGGGGGGGAAGTGAGAAGGGTCGCCCTTCTCAGACGGCTTGGAAATCTCCTGGCCTTCTGAGAAGCTCTCTAAGCCTTCTGCGAAGATACGGAAGACTTCTCAGACGGCGCCGGGGCTTCTGAGAAGCCCCGCCGCCTTCTGAGAAGGCCTTCTCCTTCTCACTTCCCCCCCTCGCTCGCCGGACTTACGGTTTAGGGGCAAACCCTAAACCCTAAACCCCGACGACGACGACGATGACGACGACGACGAAGACGACGACGACGACCCACCAGCTGGAAGAGGGCCCCCCAGAGGCGAGCCAGGAGCACCAACCCAGCTGGCCAGCCAGACCGAGGCCCTGCTCCCGTCCCCTTATCTCCACCTCCTCCCACCCCCCCGTCCTCGCTCTCGCTTCCCCCACCATTCCCCCACCATTCCCCATCCTTTTCCTCCGACTCCTCCTCATACCGGTCCTCCTCCCCTTCCTCCTCCTCCACAGCTGCCGTTGGAGGGAATTGAGTCCTGCCCAGCCGTAAGCATTGCAGAATCGTGCCCGAGGTAGTACTGCGCCCCATACCCGCAGGCTTCGGGGGGCAAGGGGGCTGGAGGGCCCGCCACTAGCGAAGCACGGGCAGTGAAGCAGCGGGGCCACACATCCGACACCTTGACTTGCATCGTCTATTCGTCTTCTGAAGGATTTGTCTTGTGCCGCATTTGAGTTCGAGCTCTCGGGATTAGCAAGTGTGACCTCGAACCAAGGAAGACGACAACTGTTCCGACACACCCATGCAAAGAAATGCCAGATTGCCAGGATGGTCATTTTGAGAGGCCTATCATTAGTACCCCCGCCAGGACTAGAGCACAGACCAGATCAGCGTGCAGAATCTGAAACAAGTTGCATGATGGAGCAAGTTAAAGAACTATTGAAAGGAGCACACGTTGGAGAGCTCGCAATGATGACCGACGCAACCCAAGACGAGAAGGCAGCACAGGTTCCGAAATACAATGGAGGGAGACAGGGGGTCAATCATTCAATGCCTGGCGGGCCCGATGCGGTCCTGGAGAGAGCCCCCCGCCAGCGCCTGAGTCAGAGGCCAACGGACAGAATTCCATCATCTTGTATGCAATGCCGTTGGATGCAAATGAGCTTATTGGGAGTAGCCCAGAAGACACTTATTTTGAAGAGTTGATTGGCGCGATTCGCAATTCAGACAGCTTGGATCAATCCCAATCGATTCTAGATGAGTTTCCAAACGGGTTGGGACATGACGCATATTGTTGCGCCAACAACGAAAGAATTTGGAAGTTGGCAGTGAATTTCTTTCGGCAGAAATGGACCACTTGGCAGAAGCAGTGGCGGTTGCAGATGCTTTCAGCAGGGAGCAGTTGGACGTCCTATAGAGCAAGCACGAATGTACATCAGAGAACCCAGGTTTATGAAAACAACGCAAGGATAAACGTGACACGATTTTTGGATACCAGCGCAACGCTCTACAAGCGGATCTAGAAGCCGAGGGAAAAAGGACACCCCAGGCGCGCAAAAAAAACTTGTTGGACCACGTCTATGACGGATTCCTTAGAATTCTACAGCGTGCTACGGCTTGAGCACAGATACCGAACGAAGCATGCGCACGCAGCTAAAGAAACAAGAAAAAAGGTCGGAGCTGTCGATTGCCATGGCATCACACATAGAACAATTGCTTAAACGAAAAGCATGTCTGCCACACGTACATGTTGTCGGCGCGTGTTTGGCGCGTCGCGTGGTGCTTGCAGGCAGGGGGACAACAAAAACAACAGATCGTTCGCGCGGCCATCGCGTTCCCAAGCTCCCGTTCCCCTCTCTTCCCCCCCCGGGTCGGGGGCCTCGGCTGCTGACTTGTCTCTCGCTGTTCCTCGGCTGTCGGTGGCTCTCGTGATGCTCGTGGGCTGTGCTGAGGTGAGCTTCTTGGGGGTGAGTGCGAGGCTTATGGTCTGTCGTTTGCAGTGGCGTGGATGGTAACCTTTCTTTGTAGGGGGTAGTCTTCTTCTCGGGCTTGCTGTGCTTCGTCGTATTGTGCTGCTACCTCTTGCTGTTGGGGAATGTTGAAGCACCCTGGTGTGTCCCCAGTGATCACATCGTGTGTGATTGTAGCCATGGGTTCTGGTGGGTGTAGTAGTGGGTCGTGCTCGCTTGCTAGCGTAGTCGGTTTCGTTAGTGCATGTATCGTCCTTGGTGCTCTGGGCGTGGCTGGTTCTGTCGGTATGATTGGAGCGGGTTCTGTCGGTGTGTATAGTGGCTGCTGGGTGGGGTCGATGGTTACGTCGTTGTGTGTGTGTGTGTTATCGGTTGGCTCCTGTGTGCACTCGTCGTAGTGTTCAATGTATTAGCCGTCTCTAATTGTACTCTCTGGAGTTCCGTCGCCGATGGCGTCACTCAGTTGGTCTCGTACCCTTTGTAGCCCTTCTTCTGGTTGTGCTTGTTGTGGCTGCGCTTGTTGTATCTGCTGTTGTTCCAGGTCGACTATGCTGTGTTCTAGGTCGACAAGTTGTTTGGTTCTTTCGTCTTCGTCCAGGTCCCGGTCGTCAGACAGTGCTGGTAAGTCGTTTGTTTGGTTGCGCTTGTCGTAATAGTTCCTGTAAGTCTGCTTGTTTTTGTCCGTGCCATCGCTCAGATTGTGCGCGTGCTTCCTCGTATCTCTCAAGCTTGAACTGTTGTTGTCTAAGTTGGCTTGTCGTGTCTCGCTGGTGCTGCTTGGCCGTGGTCGCTTGTCGCTGGTAGTGTAAGCTGACTGTCTGTAGATTTGCTTCCGCGTTGCCGAGGATGGTCCTGGCTGCTGATTCTTCGTGGTAATTTGCCAGAGTCGTGGATTCGTTGTGTTGTAGTCTTTGCGCTGGTGTGACTGCTTCTCGTGCTGCCATGACTGCTTGGTCGAATATTGCTTGGGCGTGTGCTCTCTGGACTTCCTGCTGTTTTGCATGTTGTTCTTGGTGTCTTCGTAAGTGCTCCTCTTACCAACGTCGTGTGGTCGCCTGTTGTTGCAGGCCTTGCTCTAGCAGTTGAATCCTTGCTCGGCCATGCTGATGTATGGTGTTTGTATTTGCTCTAGTGCCGCTTGTTGTTCTTGGTAGTGGTTGTGGAGCTATTATATGGTGTGTTGCATCCGTTGCTCTTTTGTTCTCTTAGCTTGGTCGATGTTGTTTCGGTGCTGGTGTGCTTCGTGTACCGGTCGGGCTGTGAGCTGTAGGTGTTTTGCTTGTAGCTCCAGTCGAAGCTCAGCAACGGTCGTTATGTATTCTTCCTGTATCGTTTCGTGCCGTTTGCAGGCTGTGGCTTGGTCGACCAGTGCCTTGGCGTGCTCTTGTTTCGCTTGCTGCAATTCGGTGTGGTATTGCAGCACTTGTGTTGTGGCTCCTTCCATGTGTTGGTCTCTCTGTATCGCTTGGGCTGCTGTGAGCTGTGCGTGCGCTTCTTCGTTGGTGGCGCGTTGTATTGCAAGATGTTCCGTGGAAGAGGCTTGCTGTTCCAAGTTTCGTGCTGCTAGTCGTTGCTCTCTTGTGTTGTGGCGGTTGAGAGGTAGTCACTGGCTGTGTAGTTGCTGTATGGTGTCTTCTGCGCACTCAAGTCGGCGTTGTACTTGTTTGTCGTCTGTGCTGGTCTGCTGGGCTAGTCTTAGTTATTGTATGATTGTGTCGCTTGCTTGTGAGTCGTCGAGTGCCTTTTTGATCAGCGTCTCGAGTCGAGTGACGTCTTCCTTTGTGCGTAGGCTCAGTGTTGTTGGTTTGAGTGGTCGTAGTGGGGCTGTTTGACGTGAAGATTGGTTGGGCTGGATGTTATGGGCTCTTGGCGATGTATCGTCGGTCGGTTGTGGGCTCGGTGTGTGCAGTCGTTGCTGGATGATATCCTTCTCGATGTTTGCGTAGGTCTTGGTGAGTCGTAGGTTGTCGCCGTTGTATTTACATGAGCGTGGCCTCGGAAATCTTGGTGCATGCTGCGTAATCGTCTTTGAATTGGCGTATGTGTTGTTGCTGTTCATGTAGCGGCTTCTGGCCAAGTAGCTGTCTTTTCGTGACTGCCAAGTCGTGTCGTAAATAGTCTGCTTTTTGGCCGACCGTCCCCACTGCTAAGATGTGTGACGATAGCTTCCTGTTGCTGGCTGTCTTCGATGTAATCCATGCTCCTACTTCAAGTGGTGTAAGGCCTGGGCAGCCCTTGTTCTGGACGTCGTCGTAGAATGCCTCTGGTATGCTGTCTATGATATCCTTGGCTTCTTGGTCGATGTATGCTGTGTGGTCAGCGTTGTTGCCGAAGTTGGGTTGTGGCTGTTATTTGTCATGTCGACTGCTTGCTTGGTTCTGTCGCTGGTGTGTGCTGGGTCTTGGTTTGGTGGGCCTCCTTTGATTGTGGTTGTATTGATGCTGGTAGGTTGTGTGTGGGCTGTATCCGTTGCCTTTGTTGTGCTACTGTGTGGTGTGGATTGGGTTGTAGCTGGACGTCTGGGTGTTGGGTGCCTTGTAATCTTTGTGGCCGTTTGGTTGCCATGCTGTATTGTGGTCTTTGCCGTGTGGCTGCTGGTGGTGGGATTTCCCTTTGCCTTTGCCTTTGGCTTGGGGTGCTGGTGCTTGTCCGTCTGTGTCGTCGACTTGGTTACATGGTTGTAAAATATACGTACATGTGTTCGTCTGTGGGACGGGGATGTTGTTGTGCGCTGTGGTGCTGGTGAGTAGCTGCTGTGCTGCTTGTAGTTGTTGTTGCGTTGGGTGGTCGATGAATGACCTTGCTGATGCTACGCGTAGCAGTATGCGTGCTGCAGCTCTGGTATCCCTTTCCCTACGGTGCCACGCGGGATTGAGAGACGTAGTCGGATTGGGTCTTGGCCAAAGTGGCCGTTTGAGTAGTGATCGTACGGCGAAGTTGTCGAGGTCGTGAGACGTAACGCGGATCTGAGAGACAAGCACTATCTAGACGTCATAGTGTCAGAAGGGCTTATATGAGAATACATGGGAAATGAAGAAACATAGAAATAAGATAAACATACAGGATGGTGGGGAATCGTGGCCGATGGATCGGCGCACTGCCACTGACGCGCTTCAATCGCTTGGCGGTCCGTGGCTTCCCTCCTCCTAATCCTCCTCCTCCTTCTCCTCCTCCTGTTTGACGCTGCGCAAACTCAGGGCCGCAGCCTGGAGCGCTCCTCCTCCTCCTCCTCCTCCTCCTCCTCCTACTCCTCCCCCCTAACCCCTCCGCGCTCCCTCATCCCGCCGCCCCCTGCACTCTCCATCCTACGGCCTCTGCCTCCTCCATCCCTTTCCTGTTTAAACTAACTCCCTTCCTGGCCCCACGCGTGACCCTGAAGCTTGAACGTTCCTAACGGTTAACGGGTGGAGGGCGGTTCGTTTTCAAATGTGGCTCTGGCACTAACGCCGCCCGTATTCGGTTTTTGTTTGAAGGTCTGCAACAGCCTCACGGATGGAGGGGGGGTCGTTTTCAACATGTTGCTACCGTTCCGGTGCCGCGCACATTCGTTTCAAAAATACTGCAGCAACTTCAAGGATGGAGGGCGGCTCCTTGACAAACGGTGGCTCTCGCCGTAGCGCCGCGCAAATTCAATGCACAAGCATGTGCAACCGTTTCTAATATTCGTAGGGTTGGAGTCCCAGGAGTAACGTTTTGGCACGGTTTAGGGTGATCAGGACGCAACCTTATCGTAATTTCGTGGTGTTGGCGTCGCAAGACTGGTGTTCTAGCTCAGGATCGCAAGAACGTAGCAATCATGTTGATTCGCGGCGTGAAAGTCCCTAGAATTGTGTCTAGGCGCGGTTCAGGATTCTCATACGGTTGTCTTCCAATGGGGCGCTTCCATGCGCCAGCAGGCGCAGGTGAATGGCTGCCGAGAGGCAGCTTCGCAAATGCAACACAGGGTTACTGCATTTGTAGCGGGCGAACACTAAAAGCACAGAACAAGGAAATAGCAAGGGAAACAGGACAAGACTAGCCTGTCTGCTCCTACTCCTCCTCCTCCTCCTCCTCCTCCTCCTCCTCCTCCTCCTCCTCCTCCTCCTCCTCCTCCTCCTCCTCCTTCTCTTCCCCCTCCTGTTCCTCCTAGTGCCCCTTCTCCTCGCGCCCGCGGGCCTTCGACTTGTAGATGCCCTCCATGATCCCGAGCTTCTGCTCCTGCAGGAGTCGTATCTTCTCCTCGATCGACCCCCGGACCACCAGCCTCGTGGCGACGAGGCCTATACATTCTGAGGGGGAACGATAGGGGGGGACTGGCGTAGGGGGGGACTCATCGACCTGGAATCGGCGATACGCCGCTGATACGTCGACGATAAGCATCTGATTATGAATCCAGACGCTCCTGGGCAGGTTGGGGCTATCGGGCCCCTATCGGTGATCCGTGGGCGATTGGGGGTCGATGCATCCCCCCCTTAATGCCTGTCACTCCCTATCGCTGCCCCTGGCTTTCGGACCATAGCTCAACTCTCTAGCGGCCGTTAGGGACGATCTATGCACCCCCGGAACGCCTTGGCGAGGCACAGCAGCTGGAAGGCATCCCGAGTCGAGCAAACTGCCAAGAACCGGCGAAGACGCCCGGAAATCTCGAACCTGTCCCCCCCCTATCGTTGCCCCCAACATACCCGCTGCCCATGGCTGGGACCAGAAGCGGTGCCTCCGCCCTCTTGGCTTTTGGCCTGGGAGGCAATGGTTACCCAAACCTCCGATGTCGTGTTTTCACGCAACGTCGACGCCCACAGGTCTAAACTCTATAGGACGTGAAATAATGGTGGGCTTTAAGTGGGGGGGAAGAAGCGTGCACCTTTCGTGCCCCTTTGGGGCACCAGGAGGCCCCTTGAGAGCCCATTTAGGGCACGAGGAATGCACCTTTCCTCACCCCCCCCCAATTATCGCTCTCCCACTACTCGACGCCCGACTCTAGACCCGCTCCCAGGGGCCGGTGTCTCATCCCGAGTTGGTTTTGTTTCGCTCCCAGGGCCCAGCGAGAACCCCTGAGACAGAAAACTGCCAAAAACCTTCCGTCGTATCCCAGACATGCGATGTCTTGGTTGTCCTACTGCGTACGAGGTCCCTGGAAGTCCCGACCCTTTCCCCAGGGCAAGTCTTTCATCCCGAAACTTTTTTGACGGTCCTGGAACCCGGCGAGGGCCTCCAGAGGCCGAAAACGGCCGAACATCTCCCGTCGTAATTTCTGCCAGGACGCGGGCATGTCTGGGGCTCTCCGCGAGAGGAGCTGGGGCACAGTATGTGTCGACCTCGCCGCCCGACAGCCTGACCACGTCGACTGGCCGGTGCTGCCCGATCCGGTGGCACCTGTCCGCCGCTTGCGCCTCCACGGCCGGGGACCACCTGGGCCAGGGGCTTCCGAACGGTGAGCGCCCAGCCGCGGCGGCACGCGGCGAGGCGCGGCAAGAGATGCCCAGACCCATCGAGCATTTTTCGAATGTTCGTGATATCGACCCGCTCCCCCCCCTCCCCCCCTCCCCCCCTCCCTCCTCCTCCTCCTCCTCCTCCTCCTCCTCCTCCTCCTCCTCCTCCCCCGTAGCCATTTTGGCTCAAGCCATTTTGGCTCAAGTTGCCACCGCTCAAGCCAGCTGGGCAGGAGCAGCCCTGCCCCCCTTTGTTTTCGCCTACACCCACACGCCGCAGTTGCCGCCATGTCGTCCAGGACGCCCTGGGTTCGCAAAGAAGGAGTAGGATCGCCAGTTGTTTCGCATTCTAAGTTGCTTTGCCCGCGCGGCAGACCAGATTGTTGGATCTGGCCCAATAGAATTGCTTCTCAGCCGTTATGTAAGTGCGGTCTCCCCTGGCATAGGAAGAGTTCCCAGCCACTCCCGCCACCTCCGCCACCACCAGCATCAGCGAAGTCTGGGCGTACAGGAAAGCCCATTGCTGAGGTAGTTGGCAGGGAGAAGATTCAGTCCAAACTTAAGCCCACTGATCAGGTAGAATCCGACAGTGAGAAGGCGCATCCACCACCGCCGCCTCTTTTGTGGCAGTGAAGTCTAGTCCCAAAGTTAAGGCCTCTGGTCAGGTAGAAACCGACAGTGAGCAGGGCCAGGATTTCAAAGTCAGGCTTCAGTTCAAGCTATTGATTTCGGATGTCTTCCAGCAGCACGATCCTCAAGTGCTGGACCAGTTGGACTAATTCTTGGACAAGTACAAAGGGCAGGAACAGTATCTTTATTTTGCAGTATGCGAGAAATTCAACGTCGAGCCTAAGGTAAAGGTTCAGATCTCTAAGACGGAAGACAAACTTCCAGATGTTTTGGGCAGTGGCAGCGATTCCGATTCACTTTCTGCCAGTACTAAACATGTCGACCGTCCTCGTTCTACTTCTCCAGAGCACGCTAGTAAGCGTGCAAAGGTTGAGCACAGCGATGCAGCCCCTTCCATGGGATCAGCCCCGTCCAATTCAAGACTTCTGGAGCTAAAGTGTGGTCTCCAGGATATCAAGATCAAGCACCTCCAGCAGCAGCTGGAGACACTCAAAGAAGAGCTCAGTCGTGTTAAGAATCAAAATGCAGCTTCAAGCAGTGCGCCTGTTCCTCGGAGGAGCAGATCCAGCTCAGACTCCTTTTCTTCAAAGTAAATGGAGCTCAATGTCGCTGGTAGTAACCAAGTCATTCTTTTCAGCGGCAGAATGTATATTGCATCATGGGCAAAATAGGCAACTTGAGTAATGGCTTAGATGAGCGGATTTCTATGCTACAGGTTTTTGGTAGAATCCTTCTTTTGTGTTGGTCAGCTCCGCGTTTGGGTAGGACATTCGTCAGCTACCCAGCGTTCTTTAACCTTCACACGTCCCGTATCCTTTTGGCCAGATCGGCAATACTGTTGAAGCAGGTAGCTTACTTGCAGTTTCCGTCATGCGTCTAGTTAGGGCAGCTGTATTTCAGCCCAGTTTACTCTTACTTTATCAGGGGTCCAGGAAAGTCTGGCGAAGTAATCCCCTAGTATGTGCTCCAACCCTTATGGGGGAGGGTAGGTCTCGCTTTGCTAGGGGTCTGCCCATTAGTATTTGGGAAGTAAGTTACCCCAGTGCATTGCAGTTTGATATCATTCCCCTTCCCTTGTCCCTTCTTGCTGCCCCCCTCCCTCCTTCCTCCCTCCAGACAGTTCAAGGAATTGGCAGCCAGGTCGCAGGCGTAAGCATGTGGCCTTCCCTGGCGGGTCTTGCCATGGTTTCAGCATGCCCGAAAGTCCGAACCTGCAAGTTGGCGTTCAAGGATTGTTCGTGTCTGGGGTGGGGGATCATTGGTGGGTGGGTTGGGATTCTCCGCCCCGTTCTGGGGAAGGTCTGCGTCGATCCGTTCTGGCCTGGGAACGGCCCATTAGTAGGTGGGCAGCGTTTAACCCAGGCTAGTTTGTTTCACGCATTTTCCTTCTCCTCCTCTCCTCCTCCTGGGGTAGGGTTCTTGGCGCCGAATCGGAACTGGCAACGCCCCAGGTATTGCCTGGGGGTCAGTTGCTGTCCGAGGAACGCGCCTGAGCTTTAGTTCATTCCCGAAGCGAATGTCAAAAAAAAATGTCCTCCTCCTCCTCCTCCTCCTCCACAATTACTCAATATGAATACTACTCGCCCTCTTCCCCTGATGACGTTTGGGAATATTCGCCCCCCCCCCCCCGCGTACTGTTTTTTTTAACACAGGTTTCCCTGGAGTTCGGGTTTCGCCTGCATTTTTTTCAAAATGCTGCTCTCGCTGAGGCGCCGGCCTCAATTTTCGGGCCCCGCTCGTTCCGAATCGTGCTCCCGCTGCAGCGCTGGCATCATTTCCGCCGGCGCCCGGGCTGCACGCCCGAGCCGGCGCCCGGGCCGGCGCCCGGGCCGGGTCCGGAGCCGGTTCCGGCCGGCGCCGGAAAATCGAGTTCCGAGGCGGCGCCGAAAAAAGGCCATTCCAATGCAATTTCTCCTTTTTAAAAACTGAATTTCTGCTTTTGGCGCCCAGGAAGCCTTCCCTGGAGTTAGGCTTTCGCCTGCAATTTTTCCCAAAATGCTGCTCTCGCTGAGGCGCCGGCCTCATTTTCGGGCCCCGCTCGTTCCGAATCGTGCCCTCGCTGCAGCGCTGGCCTCATTTCCGTGCTTCCGCTCGTTCCGAATCGTGCTCCCGCTACAGCGCTGGCCTCATTTCCGAGCTTCCGCTCGTTTCGACTCGTGCTCCCGCTGCAGCGCTGGCGTCATTTCCCGTGCTATGCAACGGCATGCAATGCAATGCTAGGTTGATACTACGCTTCGCGGTGCTCTTCTACGCCATGCCATGCCGTGCTCTACAATGCATCGCGTACCCTTTCGGGATCATCGCCCTGCTTGACATCCGACTGTGCGAGTAGAGAGGGGATCTGCGCCATGGTAAGGGATGGGAGGGAGGGGTAGGATGTCAGATATGACGCGAGCGCACCTAGCTTGTCCTCCTCCTCCTCTCTCCTCCTCCTCCTCCTCCTCCTCCTCCTCCCCCTCCCCCTCCCTCCTCCTCCTCCTCCTCCTCCTCCTCCTCCTCCTCCTCCTCCTCCTCCTCCTCCTCCCCCTCCTCCTCCTCCCCCTCCTCCTCCTGCCCCCTTCCGAGCTCGAGCAAGTTGGGCCCTTTGTGATGGTTGATGAAGCTGGAGAGACGGTGGCTGCAGCGTCGGGGCCAGTACCTTACGCGTGGCAGTCTTCTGGAGCTGGAGAAGTTTGGGCTGTGATCGAAGCGCTGAAGCATAAGTCTCAAGGACGGATTACCATCGTGACGGGCCACAAGGAACTGCGGGAGGCCTGGCAGAACGGGTTTCCCTACCGTTGTGGCGTCAATCATCAGTACATGGAGCTATGGACGACATTCTGCGACGTGGTGAACGACATCGGCGTCTCAAAGATTGACTTTGTCTGGATTCCCTCGCACATGACGAGGACGCAGGCCGTCGACCGGGGCGTCATTCTCTCGTACTGGAAAGGGAATCGTGCTGCGGACCACTATGCAAGGCTGGGCGCCGACTGCCACCCCCGACAGCGGCCACAAGAGAAGCTCAGGGAGCTCAGAGAGTCGGCAGCCCCTCTGACGCTGCGATGCGCACTGCGCATCCTCAGGTTGTGTCAAAAAGGGGGTTGGAAGGACGCTCAGCAAGTGATTGAAGGAAGGCCAGCGCGTGGACCTAGTCTCATCCTAAGTGAAGACGAGGGCCACTTAATTCAGCATTTCCAGGGACGATGGGTGTGCGGTAGGTGCGGATATAGTCGTGCTCAGCGTCGGGACCTGGCTCTCTTTCCGTGTCTTGGGGACCCCAAGGGAGTCCGAGAATCGCACCCGTCCCACAAACTCTGGCGGACTGGCCCAATGGTCTGGTGTTTTGAATGCGCTGCGAGATGTGTTTCGAGAGCGTTTTGGATTTCCAAACCATGTTTTGAGAGGCCGCCCCTGGGGTCGGCGAGGCACTTCTAACGTAGGTGCCTAACTCATCCAGGGGCGGGGTCCGTCACGTGACAAGGTAGGTAATGGTTTCAAGACATTTGTGTCCATCTTCGCTCGAGCCCATCGATAGTTGGTCGGCACCTCTCTTCCATTTGGATTATCGTTTGTCGTCGTCTGTGGCTTCTGAGCTCCGGTCCCATCTTGGAGAACTTGCTGGGCCTATTCGTTCTTCGCGGTCAATCTGGGGATCGATGATACCGCCGGTAGTCCTCGTCGCGCGGCTGGACGTGGCAAACAAATTGGCGTCAGGAGGCGCATTCTCAAGAATCGCGCAAACGTTGTGCGCATTTCAAGCGAGCTGTCGGACATCACGCCATTAGGATTTCTACCGCAGGATCTATGCCGAGCTTCACCTACGGTGCGGAGGTGCACGGCCTCTCTACCGCCGAGTGGCGCCAGCTGCAGGTTGCTTCCGCCAGCACCATGCAGCCTTCTGCGGGATCTCTACCCATTCGTGGTTTCTTGGGGCGAACTCCGAGAATCCTGGGCCAAAGTTTTTCTCCAAGACGGGCCGTCGACGTGGAGGGGTGTTTCGGGCCCCCTGAGTGCGATGAAACTTTCCTTGCAACGCTTAGGATGGTCGATGCCATCCTACACCGTTCTCCTTGACGATTTCGGTACTGAAATACCCCTCACTGAAGTGTCTCCTGGAATGTTGTGCAAACTCTTGCGTGCTGCGGTGAAGCACATGCACGAACGTGAATCTGGTTCCAAGCTTTTGCCTGGCATTCCAGGGGCACGAGTTTGTCATGACACTGTTTCAGCTGAGCTTAGGCTTTCCCGGCGTACCAGGTATCAGAAAGGTTGCATCAAATCGGTGTCATGCTCGGCGGTCTGGACTCGAGCACGGGCGAAGCAGGGAGGCTACGACGTCGACGACTTGTGCGAGCTTTGCCTGGAGGGCAGGGACACCATCTTGCACAGGCTTTGGCAATGCACGGCGGTGCAGACCGAGCGTGAAGAGTCTCTGTCCAGGCTCAAAGGTGGGTTCGATATGTTCCCTCCCTCTGATCTTTCTGAAGCCAAACAGGAAGAATTCCTCCTCTACACCAGGGGATTGTTTCGACACCCTGGCGACGTGCTGCCCCGCCCTGCCCGCGGTGATACTGATGACCATGGTGTTGAGGTCCGTTGGAGGGATTACCCTGAGAAGGCTAGTTTCGAAGATTTGCGTGGACACATCTTCGTCGACGGATCCTGCATTTCTCAAACCATTCCTGAACTATCCAGGGCTGGCTGGGGGGTGGTAGTAGTAGATGATGAGGCGAACGAGCTCGCCCGCTTTAGTGGGCCAATCTGGGCGCCGTGCCCTCAAACGGCCCAGGCAGGTGAGTTCGGCGCCTACGCTGTGGCCGCAATGCGCGCCCTTCGAGGTTCTTCCATCTATCCCGACTGCAAGAACGTAGTTGTTCAAGCGAATGAACCTTAAGTCCGAGCGTTGTGCTACAAGAGACCTTATGCGGGCTTTTTGCTTCCCACTCACCGCAAGGTGGTCGACGGCGTTTTTGAGGTTAGAGCCGACGTTGCCGATTCGCCAGATTTAAGTACGCGCGAACGTTTCTTCAAGGAAGGGAATGCTTTGGCTGACATTGTCGCCAAGAGCACGCTGTCTAGACACCCTCAGCCCAGCCTCGAGGAGACGCAATGGCTTGACCACGTGCTGGAGGTATCCAAAGCGGTTGCCTTCTTGTGATGTGATGCCCTCTTGGCCCCGATTGAACCTGAAAGGGGTTGCGTTGGAGAGGTCGGCTAAAACCACTCAGCCCGAAATAACTGGTCCAGCCCACAGCTGGGTGCACGTTTCAAGCATCTGGCAGTGTGAAATTTGCTAAGGGTGTCCAAAGGCGTCAAGGCTCCAGAGTCGTTGGATCCGAATCGTCTTGAGCCTCCGCCTCCTGGCTCCTGTACCAAGCCTCCTCTGATTGACCCGAAGGCCATTGTCCTTCGGAAGCACCGTTGTTTAGCGCTCGGTTGCTCTGTTAATGCGTTGCTGATCGTGTGCACGAAATGTAAAGCATACACCAGCCACGGCCATCCTCGGAATCTGTCTGGGAAGTGTCATGGTGCTCCACAATTCAATGGAGTTAAAAGCGCCTGGTCTTCCATTTGCAAAGGGAAACATCCGAAAAGAACAGAGGTTACCGTTAAGCGTGGCCCCTGGTCTGTCAGTTGGTGCTTTTGCCATTCTGTGCTTGCTCGTGTCACCCAGTGGAGGTTCGAGAGCCTCTCTTGCTGCGAGGTCCTCTGTAATTTTTTGGCGGAGCCCCAAGCTCCCTCGGTACAGGAGAGTGGCCTGGGCTACTCCGTGCGTTCATTGGCGGTTGATGTCAAAATCCTCCACCTCTTCCCCCTCCCTCTCCTCCTCCTCCTTATCCTGGTCCTCCTCCTCCTTTTCCTCCTTATCCTCCTTTTCCTCCTCCTCCTCCTCCTCCTCCTCCTCCTCCTCCTCCTCCTCCTCCCACTCCCCTTCCCCTGGTCACGTCACTGTTCGCGCCCGCGCCATCCGGGAATGGGCAATTCCTAAACACTCCCAGATGGCGCCGGCGCCAATCGTGACGTGACCAGCCCGCTCCCCCCGCCCTCCCTGGTCATGCCTGTTATCGCAAGGGGATGCCAAAAAACGAGATGACACTCCCCCAGCAAAGCGCCCTCATAACAGCAAGGTGAAGAGGCGGGTGGAGGAATAGGAGGTCGGCTGACTGGTGCAAACGGCGGGGGCAGGGGCGAGAGCATGGCTGTGTGACCGTGGCCGCCCAGACCGCACATGCAGCTGGCACGGAGGCGAGTGCACGACTCTCGGGCCGGGCGAAAGGGGGGGATAGCAAAGGGGGGGGCTTGAGAATCAGCTCGTTATCGTTATCGTTGTGATCGTTGTGATCGTTGTCATCGTTGTCATCGTTGTTATCGTTTATCGTTGTTATCGTTGTCGATCGTTATCGTTGTGATCGTTATCATCGTCGGGGTTTGAGAATCAGCTCACGTAGCTGATTTTCCCGGCGCCTCCTGGCGCCGGGAGGCGGCCATGTATCGAGGAGTGGGCCCGGCGGCGAGGCCGAAACCAGCTGCATGCAGCAGATTTCGTACCCCCCCCTTTCCCTATCCCCCCCCCTTTCGCTCGGCCCGAGGCTCCGGAACCACCTGCGAGGAAATCTGGATCGAAACGGCCGCTGGACAGGGCTGTGTCTCGGGCTCCCCCCCCCTGCGGGAATTCTGCTGCCGCCGTTCGGGGGAGCTAGTGCACCTCACGCGTATGTCGTCTCGAAGGGCTCGTGGCCGACCGGACCAAACATGTCGCCGGCATTGGGGCGAGACCACGCTTCCTGTATCAATGAGGGGCAACGATAAGGGGGGATAGGGATAGGGGGGGAAACATCGACCTGCAATCGGCGATACATCGCCGATAGATCGGCGATAGGCCTTCGACAGCGAATCCGAACCTTCCTGGGCAGGTTGGGGCTATCGGGCCCCTGTCGTCGATCGATGGGCGATTGGGGGTCGATGCATCCCCCCCTGTGCCCATCCCCCCCTACCCATCGGTCGTTGAAAGTAGGTATTTTTGGATTCCCAGATTCCAATCTACTTTCAGCGCCTTCCTACTTCAAGAGTCGAGTGGTTTTCCCTCTTCCTTCCTCTTCAGGAGGCGGGCGGAAACCCAGTCTATTTCCAACGCCTTCCTACTTTATGTTTCTACCTACTTCTTCCGACCGATATCGTTGCCCCGGATCAAATGCAGGAGTCTCAGGCGAAGCGGCCGCCAGAACGCGCGGTCCAGGGCTCCCCGCACCCCCGTGTGGGACTCTTCTGTGGCCCTTTCCCACCACGGTTGGAGCTCCCCAGCGACACGCCGTTCGGGGAAAAGCGTGGCCGCCTTCCGGGCGAGCGCACGGCTCCTGAAGCACCTGTGCGGCAGTCTCAAGCGAAACGGCTGCCTCTCGGGCGAGAGCACGGCTCCTGAATCGCTTGTGCGGCAGTCTCAGGCGAAACGGCTGCCGGACCAGGCGGGGGGTCTAAGGATCCCCGTCCCCCCCCCCCCTGTGGATCTCGTATGCGGCTCTTTCTTGCACCACCACTCGAACTCTCGAGCGAAACGCCATTCGGGAAAAAGCGCGACGAACGATGTTGTCTTATTTTGAAGCTCTGCGAACTGTGTCACTGGGCCCCGAGACCGTTAAAAAATGCCTCGGGATGAAAAACTGGTCCCCATGAAGGGGTCCAGACCTTTGGGGGTCAACGTCGGGGGTCTGAGCATCGAGACGCGGGTGGCGAGGGGGCGGCGTCTGCTGCAGGGCTGCTAGACCGTCTAGGAGGAAGAGGAGGAGGAGAGGAGGAGGAGGAGGAGGAGGAGAAGGAGGAGGAGGAGGAGGAGGAGGAGGAAAGGTAGGAAAAGGAGGAGGAGGAGAAGGAGGGGGAGAGGTGGTGGAGGAGGAGGAGGAGGAGCCTGTGCCCCTTGCCGCTTGCCCCTCGTGGACGGCTGAAGGGCGGCCTTCCTTGGACTGGCGGCCACAACGAGGCACCGAGAGGCACAGCGGGGCACAGCAGAGCACAGCGCCTCCCACCCCCCCGCCTACCGAACTCCCCGCCCCCATTCCCCCCTCCTCCGCTGCCGCCGCCGCCTCCCCCTCCTCCGTCCCTCCCTCGCCTGCTTGCTCGCTCGCTCCATCCCGCCTCCTCCTCCTCCTCCTCCTCCTCCTCCTCCTCCTCCTCCTCCTCCTCCTCCTCCTCCCCCACCCCTCGCATTGTAAACTGAAGTGGACGGATGGTGAGTGCGCGCTGAGAAGAATCGCTGCGACGCCACACACGTTCCCCACGCTGCTGCAAGAACAACATCGGCATATTTGGGGATACAGAGATACCGCTACTGGTACTCCTAGACCTCCCCCAGAGTACGTTCCGACTAGAATTTCGAGGCGAGTACAGGCGTGGCGACGAGGGCTCTCCATGACGTCCAACCCCAAAAAAAAGGATCGGCGGCATTGGCATCGGTATAGCTGCTTCCCCTCAGTCATCGCCCTGGCAGCGAGTCAAGGGTGATTAGCAATAAAAGGACCCCAACCCTTTGGGAGGCGACCTAAGTTAGGAGGCCAAGAACCATGGTAATGATGACTTTTCCTGCATATGTATCAAATCAGGCCGCCCATATTTACGATCCCAAATACAATGGCGGGGGCCTCCTCAGTAAGGCCGCGCCTTCACTATGCCATTATGGTTACGGGTTCACGTGTCCTCGATGAGGTATAGCTACTTCCCCTCAGACATCGCCCTGGCAGCGAGCTGAGGGGGGCCACCAAGGATCCGAGAAGATCACCTTGTTCCCCTTCGTGAGGTTCAGCCCTGCGCCCGCCGCCTGGGGCAGGGGCGCCCAGGCGTCAGCGGCGGCCGGGTCGAGGTCGAGGTCGAGTCGACCCGAGCAAGGGCGCCGAACTTCGCGCTTCGCGCTGCGCGAAGAGCGAATAACCTAGCGCTCTCGCGCCGCCCCATAAGGGAGAAGCGGAGGATGAGGAGGAATCGGAGGCGAACCGCGGAGCGCGAATAACTTCGCGCCCTCGAGGGCGCCCTTGGGGAGAAACAAGGGAGTGAGGGAGGGGGGATGCGGGGATGTTCAGGTTTGCCCTAGACCCGCGAGGATCGATGAGTTGATCTAAGCGTGTCCGCAAGTTAGCTGAAGTGTGTCCTTCCGCTTTGTTTCCGGGACCTCCGAGGAACTCCTGGGATTATCTGGGTCGGGGTCCCGAGCGGCACTAAAGCTTACCAGGCGGGAAGGGGGGAGGAGAAGACGCACCGCGAGGGAAGGGGGGAGAGGAAGACGCACCCCTGCTGTTCCTGGCACTGCTGAAAGAATGAATCCGAAGCAACCGCGCGATCTGGAACAAAAAGATAGTCGGGAGGCGTTTCAAGTCGCCGCAAGGCCTCCCTGCGAGCAGGCATGTACCCTCTCGGATCAGGAGGCGAGGCCAGGTTGGACCGAGCAAGGCAGTCGAACGGCGAAGCAGAGGGGGAACGAACAAACATCGGATTGGGCAGATCGTACTCCACCAGCTTCCAAGTCGGGGGATTCGACTGGTGCGGGTAATGAAGGATGACGAGTATGGAAAAACACCAGGGAGACGACGAAGGAACCAGTTCTCCGCCGCCTGGTAATAGGAAGCCCGAATATTACCAACATCACCGAGATCGGGATCATCTACCATCGGTGGAGGCACACCGCCGATATTGGTGTTGGTGACGAGCTCTAGGCCTCCGAGGGAAGGACTGTGGAGAGGACGAAAAAAGAATCTCAACGACGACGACGACGACGACCAGAAGGCGAGCAAGTCGTATACGTAAGCCCGCGCAGCCGTGTGCACAATGCGCATTCCGAGCCCCAGGACTCTCGCGCAATAGGCCAGCGTGCCTCAGCATGCCAGAGCTACGAGCGAGGCCCCCGACAAGTTACAAGGATGGGGGGAGGAGGAGGGTGGGCGGAAGGGAGAGGACCAGGAGGAGGGGGGGAGAGGACCATTTTGAGGAGAGGGGGAGGAGGGGTGAGGACCAGAAGGAGGATGAGGAGGAGGAGGACCACTGGAAACCCAAGAATCATCAAAGATGTTGGAGTAAATCCTCCCTCCAAGCGCCCTCTTCATAGGCCCCTACGACGGTTCATTTCCACTGAGGGAATTGCCTCGTTGGAAGACAACCGTTTGAAGACCCTGAAGCATGCCAAAACAATGCTCTCGGGATTACAACGCCACGGATCAACCTGACAGTTTCGTCTTGACGATCCTGAATCGTGCCAGAACACCATTCCTGAACCTTCAACACAGCGAATCAACGTAACCGTTGCGTCCTAATAATCCTGAGCCCGTCCAGAAACACACTGATTGGTATGCTGATCATGGGAATCCGTGTCCCTCTTGCAAATGTTTAAAACGAATGTGCGCGGCGCTCATGCGAGAACCACAATTTGAAAAGGAACCGCCCTCAATCCGTGAAGCTCTTGCAAGAGTTGAAAAGGAATGTGCACGGCGCTACGGCGAGAACCTCATTTTGAAAACGACCCGCCCTCAATCCGTGAATCTATTGTAACATTTTAACACGAATGTGCGCGGCGCTAAGGCGAGAGCCACATGTTGAAAACCACCCGCCCTCAATCCGTGAAGCTCTTGCGAATTTTGAAAACGAATGTGCGCGGCGCTACGGCGAGAACCACATGTTGATAACGACCCGCCCTCAATCCGTGAAGCTCCAGCAATATCTTGACACGAATGTGCGCGGCGCTACGGCGAGAGCCACATTTTGAAATCCACCCCCTCCATGTGTGAAACTGTTGTCATGTTTAAAGGTTCAGGATCATAAAAGGTGAGGACGTCTCAGGCGAAACGCCCGGCCCGCCCTAAACACTGGCCTCGGGGTGCGACAGGGAGAAATCATGTATAAGGAAAAGGAATGGAGGAGGAGGACGAGGAGGAGGAGGAGGAGGAGGAGGAGGAGGAGGGGATTGAAGAGGAGGAGGAGGAGGAGGAGGAGGAGGAGGAGGAGGAGGAGGAGGAGGAGGAGGAGGAGGAGGGGGGGGGGGGAGAGGAGGTGAGGAGGGGAGGAGGGGAGAAGCTACAACGATGGTGAGAGGACCAGAAAGAGGAGGGGGGGAGGGAGCAGGGACGAGGGCGAGGGAGGATGCCCAGGCGGAGAGCGAGGATGAGGCCAGGCATCCCGCGCCTCGATCTTTTCGAGGCGTGGGCCTGGGGACCTTTCGACCCGAGTCGTTTCTGGGTGGCCCAAGGAGCCCGCTGACGGCCCCCCGGAAGCCAACAACTGCCGAAAGCCTCCCATCGCGATTCCATTGTGGCCGGAAGCCCTCTGCCGCGGCCGAAAACCACGACAATCGGGCCGCCACGACGCTTCGTCCGAGGCGCCAGCCCTTCCTGGGAGGGAGAATACCCCAGAGGTCTTACCCCAGAGGTCTGGACCCCTTCCCATGGACTAGCTTTTCATCCTGAGCTGCTTTTTGACACTCCAGAGTCGCGTTGAGGGCCCCTTGGGCCGATAACGGTCAAAAGCCTCGGGTCGTAATTTGTGGTCACGACGAGTGGGTGAGGTTGATTTTCATTCTTTCTGGTAACGGTCGTTACCTGGGGGGGGCGGGTAAGGGCAACGCTTGGGCGGGGTTGGGCACGTCGGGTCGGGGGTGCGCTGCGATCGCCAAATTCGCGCGAGCTCCAGCATATGGGGGGGTGGTCCAGCCCCATCCCCCCCCTACGTATGATCGTTCCTGCTGCCCTAGGGTTGTGGATGCCATGACTATGGACACTCTAGCAATCCTATCATTGAATTAAATATGTCTTTAAAATGTGTAAACCATGTCCTGAAAATGTGTCAACCATGTTTTTTTACATGTCTGAAGCTGAGCAATTTTTTTAGACATCTGGAAATTATTTGAGAGCATGCTTCCTCTCCGTCGACCGACTTCCACAACCCTAGGGTGGAGCTTGGCCCAGGAAGCGACCGTTTCGCGCCAGAAGTCCTAAAACCCCTCTCGGTCTGAGCTCGGATCGCAGGCGGCCCCAGGGCGCCTTGAGGCTGCAGAGCGCGACCCTGGCCTGCCCTGCCTGGAAGGCCGCGACGCGGGCCTGGCGCTCGGCGGGGCCGGCGGCCCCGTCGATGAGCACGCTGCCGACGCCGGCGGTCTTCAGCCGCTCCTCGCCCGGAGGAAGAGGTCGCTTTCGGCTTCGGCCCGTTTCGGCCCCATTGGCTCGTTTCGGCCTCGGCCCGTGTGCCAGAGCCGTGACGGGCCGAGCCGAAACGCGCCGCAGCCGCAACAGGCCGAGGCCGAAAGGGGCCGAGGCCGAGAGCCAGTGGAGCCGAGTCGGGCCCTTCAAAGGGGAGGTGGGCTGGCGGGGAGGGGCGGGGGGGGCGTCGAGGACGCAGAGGCGAGGGGGGGCGGCGATCCTGATGAGGCCGAGAGCCTGTCAGCAAAAGGCGGCACCGCGCTTGCAGAATCGCTAGCCAGACCAGAGGAGTTCTGCACGAGCGTCACCAAGGAAGTGCAGTATACCGGATAATCAGGAGAGCCTGGGGATAAGGGAGCTGCAGAAACAGGCAGGCAACACGGGGCGGTCATGGGTTGTTTGCTTGCGCCGCGTCCCTGAGCGATGCACAAGACAGGTGTCAAGACTCGACCATGCGTCACATACCCGAAGTGGAGAAAGTATATTCGGCCCCGAGACGACACGGAGGAGGGAGGAGGGAGGAACGGAAGTAGCATGTGCGTCGTGGCGCCGCCCGCCTCTGCCCGAGCCGCAACCCTCGGGCCAACTTCAACAGGAGGCGGGCCCGGGAATGCAGCGGAGCCCAGGGACGGCCGGGCTGCGGGACGCCCCCTTAGGGCCGCCGGGACCGCCATGTCCGAGGGGGGCGAGGACCCATGAGGGAGGAGTTGGAGGAGGGAGGAGCTCCTCCTCCTTCTCCTGCTCCTTCTCCTGTCCATCCTCCCCCCTGCTTCTCCTCCTCCTCAGCAGTAGCGGCGGCATCATCCTCATCACCACCATCGCCATCATCATCATCAGCAGCAGCATCAGCAGCATCAGCATCAGCATCAGCATCATCATCAACATCCTCATCTTCATCCTCATCACATAAACATCACCATCACCATCATCACCGGCATCATCAGCATCACCACCATCATCATCATCGTCATCATCATGATTATCACAATCAACATCATCGTCATCATCATCATCATCATCACCACAATCACCATCATCACAACTCTCACCATGACCATTGGCATCGTCACCATCATCATCATCCTTCTGAGTATCATCATATCCATATGACCGTCACCATCATCATTAACATCCTCATCATCCACATCATTATCACAATCATCACTGTCACCGTCAGAATGATCATGATGATCGTCATCATCTCCATTACCACCATCATCATCCGCATCACCGCCAACAGCACTATCACCACCATCAGCAGAAGCAGCAGCATCATCCCCATCATCACCACAAGCACCATCATCAACATAACCATCACCATCAACTTCATCATCAGCATCAACACCAGCATCATCAGCATCAACACCGCCATCATCATCACAATCACCATCGCCATCATCACCATCATCATCAACATCATCATAAACACCGCTGGCATCATCATCACCATCATCACAACATTCAGCATCACCATTGTCATCATCATCATCATCATCATCAGCATCATCATCATCGCCATCATCATCACCATCATCATCTCCATCACCATCATCATCATTATCATCATCATCAACATCATCATCATCATCATCATCATCATCATTATCATCATCATCGCCATCAGTATCGCCATCACCAACACCATCACCATCATCAGCATCAGCATCAGCACCACCATCATCATCATCATCACACCATCATTATTATCATCACCATCCCTTTATAGTCCTCCATCTTCCTCCGCCCGCTCCTCCCCTTCGTCCTTCGGTCTTCCCCCAGCGCACCCTCCTCCCGCGACCTCCACCGCGCCGCGGGAGGGGGAAGAGGAGCAGGGGGGACGAGGGAGAGGGAGCAGCCCCGCACCGCAAGGCGACGTCGAGACAATCAGCATGATCCAGAGTGCGAAACCAATACCATCTAGACATACGCATATGTGTGCATAGAGGTACGTACATACATCCACACACATGTACATAGGTGTGTACATGTATACATATATATATATGTATAGATGTATATGTATATGTCTGGATATGTGTACCTGTACATCTTCATGTATACCAGATCCATCGCGCCAACTTCGCGCGGCACCGAGGTTCTGGCGCAGGTCGGGGGGGGGTCGTTGGAAAAGCTTGGACAGCGCCATCGTGCACAATCGCGTGCCATCGTCGTGCCCATCCTCACCTTCTTCCTCCTCCTCCTCCTCCTCCTCCTCCTCCTCACCCTGATCACCGTCCTCATGTGAATCCGCCGCCGTGACTTTCCGCGCTGAGGCGCGGAAGAGGGCCAAGGGCTGGCTGGCAGAGCGTCCGCATTCTGATGAGGACCCCCCCCCTCCTCCACGAGCATCGGACTGCACACAGAGCCCCCCTCTCCTTGGGCGCCCGAGTTATCCGGGGTAACTCGGGTCCGGGGTAACTCGGGTTTGGGTTCCCGAAAAACGAACCCGAGTTATCCCTGACCCGAGTTATCCCTGATGATTCGAGGCTCTGGACGCCCGAGTTATCCGGGGTAACTCGGGTCCGGGGTAACTCGGGTTTGGATTCCCGGAAAACGAACCCGAGTTATCCCTGACCCGAGTTACCCCTGATGATTCGGGGCTCTGATCGGACTGCACACAGAGCCCCCCTCTCCCGAGGCTCCCTGGGCCACGTTCCCTCCGAAAAAAACCAGTTGCTTCATGTCCCGAGCTCCGGCTTCGGCCCAGGCAGGCAACCAGGGCAGCGGGATGCCTGCACGAGCATGCACAAGGCGTCGGCTACTTTTCAAGGATTTTTGATTTCCGAGTACTTTCCAAGACTCTTGGTTTCCGAATACTTTCCAAGGCTTTTCAAGATGGCCCAAAACGCCTCGAAGGCGGCCCAAGATGGCCCCGAGGCGGCAAGGCCAAGATCATTGATTCCCCATTGGCTGTCGGATGAGTTTCGCATTCTCGCCCTGTCGGCTTCCCGCCAGCTCCAGATACCCCAAGAAGCTTCCAAGATGACCTCAAGAGGCCCCCATGACAGTCCTAAGATGGTCCCAGAGGGCCCCCCTGATGGCCCGAGAGGCCTCCAAGACGGTTCCAAGCCGGCTGTAGAGCACCTCTGGAGGGAGCCAATACAGCATCAGATGAAAGGCCCAAAAGACACACAATCATCATCATCAGCATCAGCATCAGCATCAGCATCAGCATCAGCATTAGCATCATCATCATCATCAGCATCAGCATCATCAGCATCATCATCATCACCATCAACATCATCATCATCCTCCTCCTCCTCCTCCTCCTCATCATCATCATCATCATCATCATCATCATCATCACCATCACCATCACCATCACCATCACCATCACCATCACCATCACCATCACCATCACCATCACCATCATCATCACACACACGAGCCTCAAGCTTCCCCAAATTCTCTCGTATTTTCTGGTGTTCCGTCTTCCCCCTCTTTCCCATAGTTCCCCATATTGACTACCTACCAGACCACCCCACCCCAACCCGAAGACCCGAATTTCCGGTTGGGGGGGTGTGGGCTCCATTGTTCCCCGACCCCCCCGACTCCCCCCCCACTGGAAATGGAGGGCAAATTGAGGCCTTCGGGTTGGGTTGGGGTGGTCCGGTTGGTGGTGATACATGTTCCTGGGAGTCGACGATGCCCCCGAGATCGCCTCCAGACGCCCCAAGAGGCCCCCAAGAAAGCTTCAAGACGGCCGAGCCGGGCCAAACGATCGCCCACAAGAGCCCCAAGACAGCCCATAATGGGCCGAAGAGGCCCCCCAAGGGCTCCGAGCACAGACCCAAGAGGGCATGGGAGGTCCCCGGAAGTGCCCAAGATGGGTCCAAAGGGGCCTCCAGCGGGCCCAAGCTCCCCAAGACGGCCCAAGAAGGCCCCAGGACGGCCCATGAAGGCGCCAAAACGGCCCACGAGGGCCCCGAAAACACACCCACGATGCTTCCGAATGCCAACATAAAGACCCCCAAGGAACCCCAAAAAGCTTTCCAAGTGGCTTCAAAACTCAAAAATCGTCCCATTCCCTTTGTAAAACTTACAATTTTAGCATATTCGCCTTTCGGATTTCATCAGCTTTCAAGACGGTTTCAAGGCTCCCGAGATCGCCTCGAGACGCCCCAAAAGGCCCCCTAGAAAGCTTCAAGACGGCCGAGCCGGGCCCCACGATCGCCCACGAGAGCCCATAATGGAACAAAGAGGCCACCCAAGGGCTCCCAGCACAGACCCAAAAGGGCCATGGGAGGTCCCCAGAAGTACCCAAGATGGGTCCAAAGTGGGCTCCAGCGGGCCCAAGCTCCCCACGACGGCCCAAGAAGGCCCCAGGACGGCCCATGAAGGCGCCAAAACGGCCCACGAGGGCCCCGAAAACACCCCCACGATGTTTCCGAATGCCAACAGAAAGACCCCCAAGGCACCCCAAAAAGCTTTCCAAGGGGCCTTCAAACCACAAACATCGGCTCATTCTTTTCGTAAAACTTACAATTTTAGCATATTCGCCTTTCGGATTTCATCAGCTTTCAAGACGGTTTCAAAGCTCCCGAGATCGCCTCGAGACGCCCCAAAAGGCCCCCTAGAAAGCTTCAAGACGGCCGAGCCGGGCCCCACGATCGCCCACGAGAGCCCCAAGACAGCCCATAATGGAACCAAGAGGCCACCCAAGGGCTCCCAGCACAGACCCAAAAGGGCCATGGGAGGTTCCCGGAAGTGCCTAAGATGGGTCCAAAGGGGGCTCCAGCGGGCCCAAGCTCCCCACGACGGCCCAAGAAGGCCCCAGGACGGCCCATGAAGGCGCCAAAACGCCACGAGGGCCCCGAAAACACCCCCACGATGTTTCCGAATGCCAACATTCATTGATTTTGCTCCCATGACGTTTCACATTGTGACCCAGTCGTTGATGTCTCGTGGCATGCAGCGAAGATGCCCCGTACGAGTCGCATATGCATGTTCATACCCTTACACACATAAAT